AAACTCCTGGGCTTAAGCAATCCTCATGCCTCACCCTCCCAAGTAGCTGGGACTACAGGAATGCACCACCATGCCTGGCTAATTTTTTCTATATATTTTTAGTTGTCCAGCTAATTTCTTTCTATTTTTAGTAGAGATGGGGTCTCACTCTTGCTCAGTCTGGTCTTGAATGCCTGACCTTGAGTGATCCTTCTGCCTTGGCCTCCCAGAGTGCTAGGATTACAGACGTGAGCCACTGCGCCCAGCTCAACCAACATTTAATGAGCACCTGATATTTGCCAGGCACTAGGGGTTCAACAGTGGAAAAGGCCCATTTTTCAAAATACTTGTGATCTTATACACATGTCTTGAGCTCCCCTGAAATTGAATGCAATAATCTGGAGTTATTTCCATTTGTGGGGTGAGGGGGCAGGGAAGGGTAGGAGTTCATGGCTTTTTGTCAGCTTCTCAAAGGAGTCTTTGGTCCACAAAAAAAAAAACCCAAAAAGCTTACTGTGGGCAGAGCTAAGCTTCTGTGCCCCCTGAATTACAGAGGCACTTGAGATGCTGTCTTACCTTTCCTCCCATCTGCACAGAACTGTGCAGGTAAACAAAGGTAACCTGAAAGGTTTCTGCCGAGGTCTCAAATTACTTCAGTGTCTTCAGAGCCAGGTTTCCACTGGGAGGTGGGCCTCGTGGTCTCTCAGTCTCTTGCTGCACCCTGGATGAGGTGGTGGCTGGGAGTGCTGTGTCAGCACTTCTGCTGGTTTTCCCATTTCAGAAACACAGAGGCCAGTTTGGGATCAGTGTTTAATGTTGAAGTAACATTGATAATGCTGCAGGAGTTTAAATGTTATATATTGTCAATTTTGTTGTTCAAATGTGTCCTTTCCCACCTGATGTCTCTGATCATTACTCTTTGTATGTGATTAGATCCTGTGCTCAAGAATCTATCCCAAGAAATCATAGAATTACTCAAAAAACTGGTTGGGCTTGAGAGCTTCTCGTTAGCCTTTGCCTGTGTACAGAAACAGGCTAGTGAGAAAAGAGCACTCCGGAAAAAGAGGAAGGCTATGGAGGTAAGTTTACTGTTTGAAAATACGGCCTGTTCACTGGGCTTAATAACTATTTTTTAACCAGGGGTGCACATGCGTGTGTCACACCTATACCCAGGGAGGACAAAGGTTTGAGAGATGGGGACTTTAAAGCTGGGGCTCTAGATTTTCTTCAGTGGGCATGTATTACATTTATGATGTTTAAAGGTAAAAAAAAAAAAAAATGGTGATACATTTTCTGCATTTGATTTTTATTGGTTTAACATTACTTTATAAGTAATATAAAATTTCTATTCTATTTTTAAGTTTGTAACTAATCCTGATATTGCCGCCAAGAAAAAGCTGAAGAAACACAAAAATAAAAGTGAAGCAAAGAAGAGGAAGATAGAGTTCCTGCGTCCAGGCTATAAGGCCAAGAGACAAAAAAGCCACAGCCTGAAAGATTTAGCAATAGTGGAGTGATGTCTCCCTATGCTAATACCCAAATATAGTTTATACTGTCTCAACTTGCCCCAAAGTATGAGCTTTCTGTTGTATTCTGCTAATCTGAAAGTATAGCAGATTTTATTATTTAAATTAAACTTTGGCATAAATTGTATAATATATGTAGTTTAATATAATCATGCTATATTTTTAAAATTAAAACATTTCATACTACTGCTTTATTTTCATCACTTGTCTAAAAAGCATGTGATACTAGCAATAGAGTTTGAAGCATATTGAAGCATTTTTTTAAACAAATACAGACAGTTTAAAATAGCAAGAAAAAAATGTAGAAGTTAGGAATAAATCAAACAAAAGATTTACAATACCTTTATGGAGAACATTCTAAAACTTTGTTAAAAGGCATTAAGAAAGATCTGCACAAATGAAGAAATATAACCATGCTCATGGACAGGAAAATTCAGTATCATACGATGCTAGTTATTCCAAATTGATCCCTTTGGTTAAATGTGTATCTGAGCAAAATCCCAAAAGAGTTCTTCGTGTTAGCCCAACAAGCTGATCCTAAAATTTCCTCTGAGAGAAACTTAGAACCATCATCCAAAGAAAATAGGTACAAGAACATTCATGAACCATTGATAAAATTCAGGAACTAGAAGCAATCCAAACGTCCTTCCACAAGAGAATGGATAAAGTGGTATATTCATACTCTAAAACACGGTATTGAAAATCAGCTAGTTACATACATCAATATAGATCAGCCCTCCTCAAACTACGGCCCGAGGGCCACATGCAGGTATTTTTGCCCGTTTGTTTTTTTATTTCAAAATAAGATATGTGCAAGTGTGCATAGGAATTTGTTCATTGTTTTTTTAAACTATAGTCCAGCCTTCCAACAGTCTGAGGGACAGTGAACTGGCCCCCTGTTTAAAAAGTTTGAGGACCCCCGAAGATGAATCCTAGAAACACTGTTTTGTTTTGTTTTTTTAAGACAGAGTCTCACTTTGTTGCCCAGGCTAGAGTGAGTCCATGGCATCAGCCTAGCTCACAGCAACCTCAAACTCCTGGGCCTTCTGCCTCAGCCTTCCAAGTAGTTGGGACTACAGGCATACACCACCATGCCCGGCTAATTTTTTCTATATATATTAGTTGGCCAATTAATTTGTTTCTATTTATAGTAGAGACAGGGTCTGCTCTTGCTCAGGCTGGTTTCGAACTCCTGACCTCGAGCAATCTGCCCTCCTCGGCCTCCCAGAGTGCTAGGATTACAGGCGTGAGCCACCGCGCCCGGCCTGATGTAGTTTTTATCTCAAACAGTTCTCACCCTTCTAGGGGTTTTCTTATGTGTCAAAAGGATAAATAAAGGTGGGGCATCTTAGAAGGCTGATTTTAATTAATTCTAAGAGATTTAAAGTGAATGTATTACTTTCATAAAAATTTTAAAATCAAAAAACAAAATACTAAGGTAAGATCAGAAAGAACAAAAATATCAGCGATATTGAGCACATCTTTGTTTTTAATAAATATTTATTGAGTGCCTACTATGTGTCCAGTGCACCACACTAAATGCAAGGGATACTAACAGTAAATAAGACATGGTCCCTGCCCTCAAAGAGCTTACATTTCAACAGCTTAAAGTGCATCTCAGGTATTCAGATAACAGAAGTAATTCCGCCCCTCTCAATTTCTCTTTTTTTAGTGTGATAAGACACAGCACAATTACCAACCAATTATATAAAACAGAATGTTAAAGCTGAAAGAAACCTTTGGTATCATTTGTCCAAGGTCTCATTCTACAGACAATAAACTAAAGGAGTGGCATTTGCACCTAGAACTCGTGTTTTGATTTCAGGTTTGGTGCTTTCCCATTATCAGGCTTCTCACAAAACAATGTTCATAATGACTTTGTAAATATCAACATTCAAACCCTGATAACATACCTATACAACTATTTCCTGCTAGACAAGACCTTATAATTTATACCCTATTAAGTATCCACCTGCTTTATCCCATCTTGTTCTTTGTGGCGAACCAGAGGGATCAGAATTATCCAAGTGCTGACCTCTGGGACAGCTTCACACCCTCCAGATTCAAGGCGGCCAGGACTACATGCCCAGGTCTGCCTGCCACGACCTTACTTCCCCATACTTCTATTTTTTGCAGTTCTCCTGAACTGCTGGGAGCCACCTGTACAAGCTTTACACCTCAGGGTTTAAGTGAACTCATTTTCTGCATCCTTGATCTAGCATTTCCCAACAATGTGCCACTGACCAGAAGGGAACCCAAATGTAAACTGCAGAAGCACTATTTCCCTAGCTGACAAACATATATCCTACTATTTCAACCATGAACATATTCTGAAGTGCCATAATGTGCCAGGCACCGTACTGGATACTGGGGACATAAATAAGAAAATGACAGTCTTTGCCCCTCAAGAGTAATATTAGTTGCACTGGAATACTTGTGGCTGAGGAAACGTCTCCAAAAAAGACCAAATTAGAGAATTGGGGATGAGCAAGGAGAGTAAGAGTCCCACAGGTAAACAGAAAGCTGCATTCACTGGAACATAATTCATTGTCTGGAAGAGGCCAGAGGACAACATCTAGGACGGTAAGGACCAGGAAATGAACCACTAGTGTTCCTGAGGCCTCAGAGGAACAATGGTATTACATTCTCTTTACCGGCACCTAAGTTTTAAAATGCTGGCTTTCCCAATTTACTTAAGTGAAAACAATTCCCCTAACTTTAATAATTACTAAGGACTAAATTTACTTTTTTTTTTTTTTGAGACCAGAGCTCAACTCTGTGCCGGGCTAGAGTGCCATGGCATCAGCCTATCTCACAGCAACCTCAAACTCCTGGGCCAGCAATCCTCTGCTCAGCCTCCCGAGTAGCTGGGACTACAGGCATGTGCCACCATGCTTGTTAAATTAATATATATATATATTTTTTCCAGTTTCCAGCTCTTTTTTTTTTTTTTTTTGGTAGAGACAGGGTCTCGCTCTTGCTCAGGCTGGTCTCAAACTCCTGAGCTCAAACCATCCACCCGTCTCAGCCTCCCAGAGTACTAGGATTACAGGTGTGAGCCACCATGCCCGGCCAGGACTTTATTTACTTCTGTCACATTATAGCTGATCCTGTGGTGACTGTTAGTCTGAAAAGTTCCTCTGAACATGAATTGTTTTTTAAACTTAACTGCCCAGAAGTAAGCCTAATTTTTTAAAGAATGCTTAATTTCTCTCTGTAGAACCAATAAAGTTTTGAATTGTAACCAATTAAATTGGTTAAAACCATTTACATGTCCAATTAGAGATATATAAAAGGAATGAAAGACAGTAAAGACATCTTTTATAATACTTCTTAAAATAGATTTTTTTATTTCCTTTAATGTCAATTTTTCTCTTTAATGTGTTATGAATTCCATCAAACATAACCATTTAGGGTTGTTTTCACTATGTCATTGATCACTTCTAGTATAGACAAATAAGTTTATAGACATTATTTTGAATGTACTGTGACTACTTTTATTAGCATAATTTTATTTGAGAGTTAGGTTATCTGTGTTGATGTTGCTATTTTCAGGAATATACAGTGTAGATTATCAGTCAAGCTTCTGACCCAAAAGTCTTACTTTGAGCCCTATACCCATTTAACTAGCAGGTGACCTTGGTCAAGCCAACCTATCAAAACCCTGGGTCCATGTCCATAAAGTGAAGATACTGTAACCTGTCCTACCTACCTCACCGGGTGCCCGTGTAGATCAACTAGGACACGAGGTCAATATACATAAAAGTTTTCTGACAACTATAAAGTACTATAAAATGACAATTACAGGTAAGTCATTGAAGTTCAACCACCAAAATAATAGTCATGCCTATAACCAAAAGCTTTTAAATGAAATAGTTTAATAAGAAGTGGTCAGTTAAGCAGATTAAGACTATATTATGCACACTATGTTCCTAGCCTACTCTACTGAGTCTAATCTTTGGAAAGAGTTCATTTCAAGAGAAGAAAAATCTGAGTTATTTGTTAGTGTTTGTACAAACAAGCTACAACTACTAATTCAAAAATAGCAGGGTTTTTTCCCCAACAAGAGCACATTCTTTAATAGAACTATATTTGAATAGAATTCCATACAAATAGAATATATACCTTAACACAAGAAAGCAAGGAAGGAATATTTTACATTGCACAGAACATTCAGGTGATTCAATTGAGTTACCCCTCCAACCAAATGCTTATTTTTCATATTTATTACAAACATTGCAGTCAGTTCAGTATATGACAACAATCATATAGTTTTAACATTTAGTAGTGTAAAAAACACTTGACTGTTTCCAAAGCGATACGTGACATACCCTTAGTTTCAGAGGAGCTGAAGGGACTGAATTACTGTCTGCTTTTTAATGTTTCAACCAACCTATAAAGAGAAAATGAATAGTTTCTTAAGATAACTTTTAAGTATAAAGCATCATCAATTATAATACAGATTATATACTGGAGGTGGATTCCAAAACACTTAAAATGATGAAGGCTAACATAGAAGAATGAAGTTATGTACTCAGTTTCTGTGACGGTCTTTTAAGCTCTGAATTTGCCTGTGCTTTTAATAGAATGCTACTACTGCTGGACTACATGTGGATGACTCAGGCGAAAACTAGTCTCAGTCCTTAAGGAGCTGATTATCTAATGAGTAGATGCACAAATCAAGTACAGGACAGTGGAACAAGTACTACGCCACTGATCTGTGACAAGGCATCTAACTTTATGTGTGTGGTAAGACAGTGGGAATGGAGAGACATCAGGGAAGGTTCTTGAGAAGAAGAGAGCCTTAACTCCTGAAGGATAAGGAATTGCAAGGGTGAGATGAGGCAGGGAAAAGGCTAAAAACTGGCAAAGAGCTGGCCTATCTAAGTAACTGTAATCAGGTAGATGTGGCTGAAATAAAGGGAGATGTACATGAAGACTGGTGGGAGAAAAGGCTGGGAGGAACTTATGTGATAAGCTTAAGTAAATTTAAATTTCATCCTTACAATTAAGGAAAATGACATGTGGGTGTCCACAGCCATGAATACACACAAATGCACAGAAAACTCTGGAAACATGATACTTGCCATTCCATTGCCTCATCAAGGCCAGTGCCTTTGGTTGCTGATGTTTTGAATATTTGCCATTTTCGGTCTTTCAAGGCAGGTAACCCAAGTGAATTTGCCATCTCTGAAGGGGTCATGGCCTGTTCCATGTCCTGCTTATTTGCAAACACCACTAAAATGGCTTTTCTCAGCTCTTCTTCCTAATAAAGGTGAATATATTTAATTTCCTCTAATCAATTTGCTTGAGTTTAAGAAATGTCAAAAAAATATATAATATTCATTATAAATTATGAAATTACAGATAAGTATGAAGAAAAGAAGTTTCACCCATAATCCTACCTCCCAAATATGATCACTGTTAACATTCTGATTCTTTTCTTTTATTTTTTTTTGTTTTTTGGGTTTTTTTTGAGACAGAGTCTCACTTTGTTACCCAGGCTAGAGTGAGTGCCATGGCGTCAGCCTAGCTCACAGCAACCTCAAACTCCTGGGCTCAAGCGATTCTGCTGCCTCAGCCTCCCGAATAGCTGGGACTACAGGCATGCGCCACCATGCCCGGCTAATTTTTTTTTCTATATATATATATTAGTTGGCCAATTAATTTCTTTCTGTTTATAGTAGAGACGGGGTCTCGCTCTTGCTCAGGCTGGTTTCGAACTCCTGACCTTGAGCAATCCGCCCACCTCAGCCTCCCAGAGAGCTAGGATTACAGGTGTGAGCCACCGCGCCCGGCCTATTTTCTTTTTTGAGTCAGAGTCTTACTCTGTTGTGCAGGTTAGAGTGCAGTGGCATCATCATAGCTCACTGCAACCTTAAACTCCTGGGCTCAAGTGATCCTCCTGCCTCAGCCTCCTGAGTAGCTGGAACTACAGATGCGCACCACCACGTCTGGCTAATTTTCCTATTTTTTGTAGAGATGGTCTTGCTATGTTGCTCAGGCTAGTCTCAAACTCCTGGCCTCGAGTGCCTCCCACCTTCGCCTCCCAAAGTGCTAGGATTACAGGTGTGAGCTACCACGCCTGGCCTTTTTTGGGTACTTTTTACTAGCAGTTTGTTCTGCAGATTCTTAAGTTTATTTAGTAAATACTTTTACATATTTAAGACTACATTTATATATAGTTCTATAGCCTGATATAAAATATAAGCATTAAATCATAAATGTTTCTCCATTAAAATTTTTTCTAAAAAAAAATTAATGGCTAAATATACTCTATACTATGGATGGATGCACCATAAACTATTTTGTAGTATTAGATTCTTACTAGATTGTTTTCACTTGACTATTACCGGAAACCCAACTGACAGAGTCTTTATATGGAAATCTTTGTTTGAATCTCTTTCCTTAAAACAATTCTCTAAAAATGGAGTCAAAGTATGAACAGTTTTTTGGGCTCTGATAAACTGAATATATGTTATAAACAGCTTTCCAGAAAGGTTGTAACAATTTTTACCCTACCAACAGTGTAAAAAGGTTCGCATCTTCCATACAGACTTAGTGGAATTGGAAATTTAATATTTTTCCAAACACAGCATCTCATTATATATCAGGGTACTAGAAATGCAAATGTTATTAGCAATATGTTTTTCTCCTGTGAATTGTGTTTTGTTCATTTTTCTATTGATCTGCAAAGGGTCTCGATATGATTAAGTCAATGGTTTCTGGTTAGTCCCGGTTTCCTGCTTTATTCTTGTTTCTATTTGGCATCTCTGAGCTTTTGGGGTTTTCTGTTTATGTTAATATGATTAAATCTATCCTTTCTTTTGTAATTCCTTCTAATTCTTTGATTTAGAAAGGCCTTCCCTACTCAGAAATTTTAAACATATTCACTTATATATTCTTATAGCTAATGATTTTGACTTTTTACTCCATTTTCCTTACTTCATTAAGAATTCATTTTGTGTACAAGGAAGGCGAAACCTAAATTGCATTTGTGTCTATAGGTTTTAATAATCCTAACTTGTACTCAACCTGTACTTTACATAATATTTATTGGTTGAATCAATTAAAAAATTGAAGAAAAGAATCCAACTTTTGGTTCTTTTTCCATGGGATTTTATAAGTCAAATCCTAATACTGCAAATAACCTATTAACAATACTACACAACTCGAGCATTGTAAACTGAAGTTAATAGTCCATTTCTTTTAAACAATATTTTATATGATAAAAATGTATTATATCATATGAATTATATCTAAATAAAGCTGTTATTTTAAAAATCCATTATACTCAAGGCAATTAAACCTTATCCTTATATTTGAAGTTAGTCTAAGAAGCTCTTATAAATAAATATGATGCTATGATGTGAAAAAAAATTAAGCTATTAAGTCTCCAATTTATAACTTGGATGCTATTGAGAAGTTGGTAGTCCAAGAAATCAGAAGTCCAGCATCCTCTATTTTAAGAATGCTTTTACCTAGGTTATCAAGTGGCTTAGAACTTATATTTAAATATTCAATGATTAGATAATTCAGAATCATAGTTGTTAAAAGGAAACTTATCCATCTAATATTCTAGAGCAAAAGCAAATTCATTATTAATCGTAGTACATTTGATTATTTTTTAAATTTTAGAAACTGATTTAATGCATCCTCTGAATTCAGTCAGTTAATCAATCAATGATCTTATTAACATCAGTTAATAAAATATATTGAGTTTTTAATTAAGTGCTATATTCTGTTCCTGACATCAGAGATATCAGGGTAAACTCAAAGAACTTACATTTTAGGGAGAGAGGCATACATAGGTAAACAAATATATTTAAAAACAATGTAAAGACATGATTAAGTGGTATAAAGTATCAAGTAGGGTAAGAGGTTAGAAAATAACTGAGCCTCATCTCTGAAGAAGAGACATATGAGAGGAAACATGTCAAGAAGGTAGCCATACAAAGATAATGAAGAAGAGCATTTTAGGCAGGAGGATTAGCAAGTGCAAAAGACCCTAAGCCAGGTGTGCAAACTTGTGTTTGTAGAACAGAAAGGTCTATATGGCTCAAGGGCTATAAACACAGGAAAGGGTGCAGAATAATAAAGCTGGGGCCAGAATTGTACTAGCAACCTAGAAATACACATTCCTCTGAACGTTAATGCTTCTAAAATAGCTAAAAATAAAAAGGCATTTTTAAAAAGTCATGTCATAGGAGTGACCTTGAATAGTTGCTTTAGTTTAAGAGAGCTCTGAACCTCCTGGAAATCAAAGAATCTAGCTTAAAGAAGTTACAAGGTTGGATTGGTTTTTTTTTGTCTCTAACCTCTCCCCACCAACTGTACTTTTAGAACAGGATGTAATCTGCATTCAAAAGAAAATGATACTAAAGGGATGAGGGGAAAAAAATGTACTGAAAACAGCCAGCAAATGTAAATGATTTCCCCACATTTAAAGTGGTAACGTTTTCTTACCTCCAACATGGCAACTAACTCTGATTTGGAAATGCCAATTCGGTCTCGGTCACAACTGTCTACTACATAAATAACTGCATCTGTGTTTGAATAATAACATCTCCAGTATGGCCTAGGGAAAATTCAAAGGGGAGAATATATTATTATTATTTGAGAGAAGAAGAAATTGACATGTCAATTTACATTCTAGAACTCAGAGCAAAGATTTGGAGTGTGGGTGGAGGGATTACATGCTAATCCTGCCCTACTCATATCAGAATCAATCCCTTAATGATTCATTGTTTCTGGTACATCATGTCCCTCAGATGTGATGGGGTCAAAAGAATAGTGATAAACATTAAATCACAGGACCAAAGAGTTTCAAAATGAGTCCAGACTTTAGGCTGAGAAAATATATTTATATTCTATAAAATCACTAATATACTAATAGAAAAGTTACCTACAGACCTGACTGTTACATTTTATAAATCTTTAGGAACCCCTTAAGAGGAATGGATTTTTAAATTTTTAATGTGATTTTATATAGCAGCCATGAAGTCATCAAGAAACAGAAATAGCTAAAATTAGAAATAAACTCAAAAGTGACTAAAGAAATGAAAAGAATTAAAAGAAGGCAGAATGTTTGCGGAATGCACTACTAATCTTTTACAATAGTACCATAGTGAATAACTACTGATAGTCACCAAACATTCACAGCTACCATGTCAAGCACAAAATGCTTGGCAGGAGACCTGAACTACAGAAAGCATCTATGTTTATTATTAGCCCTAACTGGTGGGTCTGCAAGGTAGTTGAATGAATTCCAAAACAAAATGCCTCACAGAGGAGGAGCTGACAAAAACTAAATAGAGGGCCATTTTTAGTTGAAAACTAATGAAGTAATAAGATCTTGCAATTTTCATGAAGTTTTTCATATAAGTGATAATATAAGTGATACCTGAAAAACTAGCTTCCTTAGATTTTTCTTTTTTTTTTTTTTGAGACAGAGTCTCGCTTTGTTGCCCAGACTAGAGTGAGTGTCATGGCGTCAGCCTAGCTCATAGCAACCTCAAACTCCTGGGCTCAAGCAATCCTGCTGCCTCAGCCTCCTGAGTAGCTGGGACTACAGGCATGCGCCACCATGCCCGGCTAATTTTTTCTATATATATTAGTTGGCCAATTAATTTGTTTCTATTTATAGTAGAGACAGAGTCTCATTCTTACTCAGGCTGGTTTCGAACTCCTGACCTCGAGCAATCCACCCGCCTCGGCCTCCCAGAGTGCTAGGATTACAGGTGTGAGCCACCGCGCCTGGCTCTTAGATTTTAATTCAATAATTCAATACCTACTCTAAGGAAATAGTTTCAACATTTTTTTGGGGGGATAGGGTCTTGCTCTGTCACCCAGGCTGGGAGGCAATGGCCTGATCATAGCTTACTACAGCCTTTAACTCCTGGGTTCAAGTAGTCCTCCCACCTCAGCCTCCTAAGTAGCTAGACTACAGGCATGTGCCACCATGCCCAGCTAGTTTTCTTATTTTCTGTAGAGATGGGGTCTTGCTATGCTACCCAGACTGGTCTCAAACCCATGGCCTCAAGCAATCCTTCCACTTCAACCTCCCAAAGTGTTCTAGGAATATAGGCATGAACCACCACATTCTGCCAAATTTAAAATTTTACCTAATTTTCTCTATTCAAACATAGAGTGGAATCAAAAATATAAAAAATAAATTTAAAAATATTTAAAATACGATTAAAAAGTTTTTTAACCTCATTTTAAACTAGATAGTTCCCATTTAAATTACAAGAGAACATATATTTTGGTTTACTGCTGTTAACCCTTAAACGAACCCATAAATGTTAACTACCACAAAATAACCTAGTCGTTGCACCATACCTGATACTTGTCTGTCCTCCTAAGTCCCACACTTGGAATTTAAGGTTTTTGTATGTCACCGTCTCTACATTAAATCCGATGGCTGGAAAAGAAATCAAATCAGCAGTATGTTTAGACTAATGCATTCTACCTTCAAAGTATCCAATCTAATTGAGTTCTAGTAGTTGATGGTAATCATCGAATCACATTATTGGTTGTGATTTTATTCCATTTAAGACAAGACAGTATGCTGTGCTATACACAACATACACATACACACACAAAATCAATTAGCAAAATCAGCACCACCTTAGGTTATCCAAGAATCCCACAAAGGCGGGTGCGGTGGCTCACACCTATAATCCTAGCACCCTGGGAGGCTGAGGCAGGCGGATAGCTAAGGTCAGGAGTTTGAAACAGCCTGAGCAAGAGCGAGACCCTGTCTCTACCAAAAATAGAAAGAAAGAAATTGGCCAACTAAAATTATATAGAAAAAACTAGCCAGGCATGGTGGTGTGTGCCTGTAGTCCCAGCTACTCAGGAGGCTGAGGCAGTAGGATTGCTTGAGCCCAGGAGTTTGAGGTTGCTGTGAGCTAGGCTGATGACACAGCACTCTAGCCGGGCAACAGTGAGACTCTGTCTCAAAAAAAAAAAGAACCCCACAAAAGCTCTACAAATACAGTATATAATTCTTATCTCAACGAAAATCCTATAATATTAAATTCTCCTCATAATACAGGACTGGCATATAAAAATATGGAGAAAGTTATATTTAGAAATATAACACTTTTACAGCTGTAGAGGTATTATAAAAACTGGGATTTGGGAGCCAGACATGGTGGCTCATGCCTGTAATCCTGGCACTTTAGGAGCCTGGGAAGGAGGATCACTTGAGGTCAGGAGTTTTAACAAGACCAGCATAAGCAAGAGTGAGACCATGTCTCCACAAAAAATAGAAAAATTGCCTGTAGTCCCAGCTATCTGGGAGGCTGAGGCAGGAGGATCACTGGAGCCCAGAAGTTTGAGGTTACAGTGAGTTATGATGATGCCACTGTACTCTATCCCAGGGAACAGAGCATTTTTTCCATAAAAATATAAAATAATAAAATAAAATAAAAACTGAGATTGTGGTAGATAGCAAATAAATAGGGATCAAAAACAATAAAGGCTTGGCCGGGCGCAGTGGCTCACGCCTGTAATCCTAGCACTCTGGGAGGCCGAGGTGGGTGGATTGCTCGAGGTCAGGAGTTCGAAACCAGCCTAAGCAAGAGCGAGACCTCGTCTCTACTATAAATAGAAAGAAATTAATTGGCCAACTAATATATATATAGAAAAAATTAGCTGGGCATGGTGGCACATGCCTATAGTCCCAGCCACTCGGGAGACTGAGGCAATAGGATTGCTTGAGCCCAGCATACTTTACTACACAAATTCACATAGTACTTTGATATATTTTATTTATTTACCCATCAAAGCCAGTAGATACTGATTATCTTCATATTATTAGTAAAGATACTGGCTCTCAATAAGGTTTAGTAACTTAAGCCAACTTTTAAACATCTAGAAATAGCAAAATCCAGTTGAGGTTGCTGTGAGCTAGGCTGACGCCACGGCACTCACTCTAGCCTGGGCAATAAAGCGAGACTCCGTCTCAAAAAAAAATCAAAACAGGCTAAATTCTCAATTTCAGTAAAGATGCAGCAAAGCTGTACACAGTTTTATGAAAGTTGGGTTCTTCAGAATAGACTGCCTTAGGGCTGGCAATCTCACAGACTGTCAGCAGACATCTTAAGAGCTCACACGTAATAAGGTCATAGCTGGATGGTCAAAGGGGAAGTGTCCCATCCTCTTTCTCTGCTATCCTTCGGTGGAGCTCTAGGGTATCACATGGCTGAGACTAAATACTATTTCCATTGAAAGGAATCTGAAGGTGGAATGGATGTTGAAAAAACTTTCGCATGATATATATGAAGATTACTAACATTTTACAAACTTAAAAAAAAAGCAAAAAATGACTTAGAGCTATAACTGGAAAATGAATTTTTGTTTTATATTTATTTGTATTAGTAAATGATGCTTATGCATATCTGGCAAGGATGTCTATTACAACTAAAAAATAACTACACTATGGCAAACCTTAACGAAAAACTAAAGCAAGTTCATGATGTCTCCCTTAGAATTAGGTAAGAGTGTAATCACCGTGTTTACCACCAGTAAGAACATCATTTATATATGCGGGACAAGAGTGTGGTGTAAAGCAACACTCACTGACACACAATCCACTGTGCTGCTCTGCACACTCCAGAGGCCACCAAGAGATGCTGCAGCAGAGATGGGCAATTGTGAGCAGTAAAAACCAAGAGAGTTGTAGCAAACAGAAGTAACAGATGCTACAGGGTTCAAAAAGTTCTTTCTTAATCTGAGAGTTTAAATAGTAACAATATAAAAATACCTTGAGTGACAAAGTCTCAAATAACTTTAGAGGCATAATTTAAATGATCTTGAGCAAACTGTATGAACTCTTCAATTTAGTTCAAATGTATTAATCTTCTCTAAGTAGATTCAGGTCAACAAATGAAAAAGTATAAATAACAATATTCTTATATAATCAAACAGGACTATACTTAAGAATATTTTTCTAAGATAGCAACAAACTGACTTAAAGTTGAGGTGTTTCTTCTCTTAATATTTTTGAGGAACCAGATACCTTCAACATTCAGTCTCTACAACTAGGATATTTAAAGGAATCAATAATTAGCTATGAGAAACTGATCTTAATTAAAATAGTAACAAATACAGAAAAAAATATAATTCACATATAATAGCATTTAACATCTATATAATACTTTACTACACAAATTCACATAGTACTTTGATATATTTAATTTATTTCCCCATCAAAGCCAGTGGATACTGATTATCTTCATATTATTAGTAAATATACTGGCTCTCAATAAGGTTTAGTAACTTAAGCCAACTTTTAAACATCTAGAAATAGCAAAATCCAGCCATATACCAGAACAGGGATCCTTAAATTATACCAAATTGCCTCTCAGTTTATGAAAAAAGTGTTACCGATATTATGTTTATTCATATAAGTTTACAAACCTTATCACTTTATTATAAGAATTATTTATTCAAAAATAGTTATACTAGCTGGAAACCAGTATAACCTACAATTAGTTTATTATTCCAACACTTACTAGGAATAGTAGTAACGACTTCTCCAACCTGTAATCTGTACAAAATTGTGGTTTTTCCTGCTCCATCTAATCCCAGAATTAAAATCCTCATTTCCCGAGTTCCAAACAGACTGGAAAAAATACTTGAGAAAAAGCCACCTAAAAAATAATAAAAGGAAAAACTTATTCAACATTATTTTGTGAACTAGGACCATAAAACATTTAACCTTGCCCTTTGAAAGCTATATACCAAATTAAATAATACTACATTTTCCTGGATGCATAGGTGCATATTTTTTTTCTCCCAATGAAATATATCATTCAACATCAAACAAGTGATTAAGGATGCTACTATGTCCTAAATAATGTGTCATGCAGGTTCATAAGATATACTAAACAATAACAGAAAATGGCCACATGCCCTGGGGGAGCTCAATTACTAATCAAGATAATAGGATACCTTAGCATGATCTCCTCACTACTCCTAAAAACCAAAGGACCAGTCAGGATAATGGAACAGTGATGTCCTCAAACAGGAAAAGCAATTGTTATACAGTAGCAGTACCACCATAACTACCTTCAATCAGAGAGTTCTCCACTAAGCAATAGCACAAGAAACTGAAACACAGAAGCCAAAAATAACAAAAACTATTTTTGATGGAAAATGCATTTAAAAAAATCAAAAAGCTACATCGGATGCATCACAAAATATTCTAGAAAGCTTCCTGTACACAAGGTAGTATAAAAGCACTTGTGGCACAGTCCCTTTCCCATCAAAAGCTGTTAGGAAAGACTAAAAGAAAGTTACATTAACAATATGAAAGCAGTTGACAAAAGAAGTGATGCCACACTGTTATTTAACAAAGAGATGGCAAGAGTTGGCACAATTAAGAGCTGTGAGTCTGGAAAACCGAACACACCACGGGCTAGAGAACCTTGAGAACGTTAAATAGAACGGGTGTAACTTGACAAAGTCCTTTCTACCATATACAGGTAGAAAAGAGGAGGTGGAAAACAAAACCGAAGAGGCTCATGGAAGACTGAACAGCCTTTGTGATAAGGGAGCAGGAACTATATCCCCCAGAAAACAGTGGAGGGATTTAAGCAAGCAGAACTGGCATCTTCATTTGGAAGACGGTAAACAAGTTAAAGAATTTGCACCTTCATTTAGGCTCTAAACGGGTGGGGACATAACAATCAGCAGTACAAGAACTGAGGTCATTCACTGACTAGAAATACACTCCCCACCTCCTTCTTCATCGTATTCTATTATCTACCTGAAAACCTACAGCAGATAAGCAGGCAAATGCCAAGTTGGCTATAAAACATTATAAGCAACATCATCCCTCGGATTTTTCCAACTAGTCCCAGCGCTCTAGGAGAGAGAGAATCAAGCTTCCACTATGGGGCCAGAGCTCATCTTTCACCCGAGAATCCTCAGCGAACCTGCGACTGACACGTTGCCAGGCTTCCCAAGACCAACTGTGCAGGGCAAGTGGGGCTGGGGATGAGGGAAAAGTTCATAATCAGGGGAAAGGACTTGGGGCCGGGCTCTGTGGGCCCGCTTAGCTCTTCGGTCCCCTAACCCCGCGGGGATGAGGGGGAAAGGAGCGAGGGCGGAAGCAAATGCGTGAGGCCAGGTCCACCCCCACAGGTAAAAATCTAAGATGCGTCAAGCACTCAGCGCCCCGCCCTCTGACAACCTGGCTACTCTGGGCTTCCCAGGCCGGACCCTCTCCTCCTCCCCACCCCCGCCCTCGGCCGCGGCCGCTTCGAGCGCGCCCGGGCGCCCTTTTCGGACCCCTCACCCATGATGAACCGCCTGTCCGCCCTCGCTGATCCTCAGAGACAGGCCCCGGCCTCGGCAGCGATTCCTGTTCAAGCCCCTGCGCCGCCACCTCCGTTCGCCTTGGCCTGGGGCTGCGGTTCCCAGGTTGCTTCCCAGCAAGCCTGCTCTGCCAGCAACTTCCACGTCGGACTCCGGCGGGGGCGGGGGCGGGCCCGAGGGGCCGCCGCGACTGCGCGCCGGAACAGCGGTCTGAGCGTCTGCGTCGCCGCTTTCGACCCACGGTCCTCGCGCGCTCGGGGTAGATACTGTGGACGCCAGCAGAGAAAAAAAATTCAAGGAACGGAAATATCTCCTGATTCTGTTTTCCTGGACAGTAAGGGTTTCTGAAATAGGTAAATTTGAGTTTTCATTTTAAATTCTGACACCAAAAAGTGGTGAATCCGCCAAACAGGAATGCGAGTCGAGTGTCGATGAGACGGCCCGGCTGGATGCTGGCTCGGGCGGCAACTAAAATTATATAGAAAAATAGCCAGGCATGGTGGGTGTGCCTGTAGTCTCAGCTACTCAGGAGGTGAGCAGTAGATTGCTTGAGCCAGGAGTTGAGGTTGTGTGAGCTAGGCTGATGACACAGCACTCTAGCCGGGCAACAGTGAGACTCTGTCTCAAAAAAAAAAAAGAACCCCAAAAAAGCTCTACAAATACCAGTATATAATTCTTATCTCAACGAAAATCCTTATATTTAAATTCTCCTCATAATACAGGACTGGCATATAAAAATATGGAGAAAGTATATTTAGAAAACATAACACTTTTACAGCTGTAGAGGTATTATAAAAACTGGGATTTGGGAAGCCAGACATGGTGGTCACGCCTGTAATCCTGGCACTTTAGGAGCCTGGGAGGAGGATCACTTGAGTCAGGAGTTTTAACAAGGACCAGGCATAAGCAAGAGTGAGACCATGTCTCCACAAAATATAGAAAAATTGCCTGTAGTCCCAGCTATATGGGAGGCTTTGAGGCAGGAGGATCATGGAGCCCAGAAGTTTGAGGTTACAGTGAGTTATGGATGAGTGCCACTGCACTCAGTATCCCAGGGAACGAGCATGTTTTTTCCATAAAAATGATAAAATAATAAAAGAAAAAAAAACTTGAGATTGTGGTTAGATAGCAATAAATAGGGATCAAAAACATAAAGGCTTGGGGGGGGTGGGGGACCGAGGCGCATGGCTCACGCCTGTAATCCTAGCACTCTGGAGGCCGAGGTGGGTGATTGCTCGAGGTACGAGAGGTTCGAAACAGCCTAAGCAAGAGATGAGACCCATCTCTACTATAAATAGAAAGAAATTAATTGGCCAACTAATATATATATAGAAAAAAATTAGCTGGGCATGGGGCACATGCCTATAGTCCAGCCACTCGGGAGACTGGAGCAAGTAGGGATTGCTTGAGCCCAGCATACTTTACTACACAAATTCACATAGTACTTTGATATATTAATTTATTTCCCCCATCAAAGCCAGTGGATACTGATTATTTCTCATATATTAGTAAAGATACTGGCTCTCAATAAGGTTTAGAACTTAAGCCAACTTTTAAATATCTAGAAATAGCAAAATCCCATTGAGGATGCTGTGAGCTAGGCTGACGACCACGGCACTCACTCTAGCCTGGCGCATAAAGCGAGACTCCGTCTCAAAAAAAAACAAAGGCTAATCTTCAACTTCAGTAAGACGCAGCAAAGCTGTACACAGTTTTATGAAAGTTGGGTTCTTCAGAATAGATTGCCTTAGGCTGGCAATCTCACAGACTGTCAGCAGACATCCTTTAAGAGCTCAACGATAATAAGGTCATAGCTGGATGGCAAAGGGGAAGTGTCTATCCCCTTTCTCTGCTATCTTAGGTGGAGAATCTAGTATCACAGGCTGGCTGAAATACTATTTCCATTTGAAAGATCTGAAGGTGGAATGGATGTGAAAAAACTTTCGCATGATATATATGCAGATTACTAACATTTTACAACTAAAAAAAAAAGCAAAAAATGACTTAGAGCTATAACTGGAAATGAATTTTTGTTTATATTTATTTGTATTAGTAAATGAATGTTATGCATATCTGGCAAGGATGTCTATTACACAAAAAAATAACTACACTATGGCAAACCTTAATGAAAAACTAAAGCAAGTCATGATGTCTCCCTTAGAATTAGGTAAGGTGTAATCACCATGTTTCCGCCAGTAAGAACATCATTATATACGCAGGACAAGAGTTGTGGTGTAAGCAACACTCACTGACACACAATTCACTGTGCTTCTCTGCACACTCCAGAGGCCACCAAAGAGATGCTGCAGCAGAGATGGGCAATTGTGAGCAGTAAAAACCAAGAGAGTTGTAGCAAACAGAAGTAACAGATGCTACAGGGTTCAAAAAGTTCTTTCTTAATCTGAGAGTTTAATAGTAACAATATAAAAATACCTTGAGTGACAAAGTCTCAAATAATTTTAAGGCATATTAAATGATCTTGAGCAACTTATGAACTCTTCAATTTAGTTCAAATGTATTAATCTTCTCTAAGTAGATTCAGGTCAACAAATGAAAAAGTATAAATAACAATATTCTATAATCAAACAAGACTATACTTAAGAATATTTTTCTAAGATAGCAACAACTGACTTAAAGTTGAGGTGTTCTTAATATTTTGAGGAACCAGATACCTTCAACATTCAGTCTCTACAACTAGGATATTTAAAGGAATCAAAATTAGCTATGAGAAACTGATCTTAATTAAAATAGTAACAAATACAGAAAAAAATATAATTCACATATAATAGCATTTAACATCTTATAATACTTTACTACACAAATTCACATAGTACTTTGATATATTTAATTTATTTCCCCATCAAAGCCAGTGACACTGATTATCTTCATATTATTAGTAAATATACTGGCTCTCAATAAGGTTTGTAACTTAAGCCAACTTTTAAACAAAAAAAAAAAAATAAATTTAAAAAATATTTAAAATACGATTAAAAAAGTTTTTTAACCTCATTTTAAACTAGATAGTTCCCATTTAAATTACAAGAGAACATATATTTTGGTTTACTGCTGTTAACCCTTAAACGAACCCATAAATGTTAACTACCACAAAATAACCTAGTCGTTGCACCATACCTGATACTTGTCTGTCCTCCTAAGTCCCACACTTGGAATTTAAGGTTTTTGTATGTCACCGTCTCTACATTAAATCCGATGGCTGGAAAAGAAATCAAATCAGCAGTATGTTTAGACTAATGCATTCTACCTTCAAAGTATCCAATCTAATTGAGTTCTAGTAGTTGATGGTAATCATCGAATCACATTATTGGTTGTGATTTTATTCCATTTAAGACAAGACAGTATGCTGTGCTATACACACACACATACACACACAAACATCAATTAGCAAAATCAGCACCACCTTAGGTTATCCAAGAATCCCACAAAAGGCCAGGTGCGGTGGCTCACACCTATAATCCTAGCACCCTGGGAGGCTGAGGCAGGCGGATAGCTCAAGGTCAGGAGTTTGAAACCAGCCTGAGCAAGAGCGAGACCCTGTCTCTACCAAAAATAGAAAGAAATTAATTGGTCTAAGAATGCTTTTACCTAGGTTATCAAGTGGCTTAGGAAAAAATACTTGGAAAATAGCCACCTTAAAAAAGAATTAAAAGGAAAAAACTTATTCAACATTATTTTGTGGAACTAGGACCATAAAAAATTGTAACCTTGCCTTTGAAAGCTTATTACCAATTAAATAATACTACATTTTCCTGATGCATAGGTGCATATTTTTTTTTCTTCCCAATGAAATATATCATTCCAACATCAATACAATTTGTGATTAAGGATGCTCACTATGTCCTAATAGTGTTGTCATGCAGGGTTCATAAGAGTATACTAAATAATAACAGAAAATGGCCACATTGCCTGCGGGGGAGCTCATACTATACAAGGTAATTAGGATACGCTTAGCATGATCTCCTCACTACTCCTAAAAACCAAAGGACCAGTCAGGATAATGAACAGTGATGTCCTCAAACAGGAAAAGCATTGTGTATACAGTAGCAGTAGCCACCATAACTACCTTCAATCAGGAGAGTTCTCCACTAAGCAATAGCACAAGAAACTGAAAACACAGAAGCCAAAATAACAAAAACTATTTTTGATGGAAAATGCATTTAAAAAAATCAAAAAGTCTGACATCGAGATGCATCACAAAATATTCTAGGAAGACTTCCTGTACACAAGGTGTATAAAAGCATTGTGGCACAGTCCCTTTCCCATCAAAAGCTGTTAGGAAAAGACTAAAAGAAAGTGTACATTAACCAATATGAAAAACAGTTGACAAAAGAAGTGCATGCCATACTGTTATTTAACAAAGATGATGGGCAAGAGTGTGGCACAATTAAGAGGCTGTGAGTCTGGAAAGACCGAACACACCACAGGGGCTAGAGAACCTTGGAGAACTTAAATAGAACGGGGTGTAACATGGACAAAGTCCTTTTCTACTCATTATACAGGTAGAAAGAGAGGGGAGGTGGAAAACAAAACCGAAGAGGCTCTATGGAAGACTGAACAGCCTTTGTGATAAGGAGCAGGAACTATATCCCCAGAAATAACAGTGGAGGGGATCTTAAGCAGCAGAACTGGCATCTTCACTTGGAAGACGGTAAAAAAGTTAAAGAATTTGCACCTTCATTTAGGCTCTAAACGGGTGGGACATAACAATCAGCAGTACAAGAAACTGAGGTCATTCACTGACTAGAAATACACTCCCACCCCTCCTTCATCATCGTATTCTATTATCTACTGAAAACCTACAGCAGATAAGCAGGCAAATGCCAAGTTGGCTATAAAACATTATAAGCAACATCATCCCTCGGATTTTTCCAACTAGTCCCAGCGCTCTAGGGCGAGAGAGAGAATCAAGCTTCCACTATGGGGCCAGAGCTCATCTTTACCCGGAGAATCCTCAGCGGAACCTGCGACTGACACGTTGCAGGCTTCCAAGACCAACTGTGCAGGGCAAGTGGGCTGGGGATGAGGGAAAAGTTCATAATCAGGGGAAAGGACTTGGGGCCGGGCTCTGTGGGCCCGCTTAGCTCTTTGGTCCCTAACCCCGCGGGGATGAGGGGGAAAGGAGCGGAGGGGAAGCAAATGCGTGAGGCCAGGTCCACCCCCACAGGTAAAAATCTAAGATGCGTCAAGCACTCAGCGCCCGCCTCTGACAACCTGGCTACTCTGGGCTTCCCAGGCCGGACCCTCTCCTCCTCCACCACACCCGCCCTCGGCCGCGGCCGCTTCGAGCGCGCCCGGGCGCCCTTTTCGGACCCCCTACCCATGATGAACCGCCTGTCCGCCCTCGCTGATCCTCAGAGACAGGCCCCGGCCTCGGCAGCGATTCCTGTTCAAGCCCCTGCGCCGCCACCTCCGTCGCCTTGGCCTGGGGCTGCGGTTCCCAG